ATCTTGGCAAGATAAGCTATCATGGAGGGCTCTTTGGCCTCGTAGCTGCCACTGATCTGATATGCAACTAGCTGAGAGTCTGTTTTTAAGCAGACATGATCGGCTTCCAAGGAGATGCATAATTGTAGGCCGGCGATTGCTGCCTCATATTCGGCTTCATTGTTCGAGGCCTTAAAAGAAAATTTTAGTGCATACTCAAAGGATTTGCCTTCGGGAGAAGTTATCACTACTCCTGCCCCCGAACCGTTTTCGGTGGAAGACCCATCCGTAAACACGGTCCAGACTTTCTTTTCACTGTCCAGCGCTTCTTGGTATGAGCATTCGGCCAAGAAATCCGCTAGGGCTTGAGCCTTAATGGCAGCCCTCGGACGGTAGCTGATGCTGAATTCGGTGAGCTCAAAAGCCCACTTGGCTAGCCTACCGGATTTTTCAACCTTGCCGAGAACTTTTTCCAACGGCTGATCAGTTAAGACCACTATCTGATGGCAATCAAAATAGGGCCTCAGCTTCCGAGCAGCTACTACTACCGCGAAAGCAACTTTCTCGAGTAGAGGATAGCGGGTCTCGGCATCCGTCAGTGTATGACTGACGAAATAGATCGGTTGTTGACTCTTACTCTCTTCCCTCAGCAATACTGCGCTGATGGTGGCCGGGCTAACGGCCACATATAGGTATAAAGTTTCTCCTTCAGCTGGGCTAGCCAGCGTTGGGAGTCGAGCCAGATGCTCCCGAAGCTGTTGAAAGGCGTCTTTTTGCTCTTCCTCCCAAACAAGCTCTTTTGTTTTCGGGAGTTTCAGGGCTTTGAAGAAGGGTAACCCCTTATCCGAAGCTCTGGAAATGAACCTCGAGAGGGCTGCCATTCTTCCGGTGAGCCGCTGAACATCCCGCTTCGTTTTCGGCTCAGGAAGGTCGAGCGCCGCTTTGACTTTAGAGGGATTGGCATCAATCCCCCTTTTGCTGACCATGAACCCCAGGAATTTCCCTGACTTCACGCCGAAGACACACTTCTTCGGATTCAGCTTCATTTGATGCTTTCTCAAGGTGGCGAAAGTTTCAGCCAGGTCCTTTACATGGTCCTCTAGTTTTTTGCTTTTGACGATTGAATCGTCAACATAGACTTCCATGTTTCGGCCCTTTTGATCGGCGAAAACTTGATCCACCAGCCTTTGATAGGTTGCCCCCGCATTTTTCAATCCGAAGGGCATCATTTTGTAATTGTATACCCCAGCGTTCGTGACGAATGCTGTCTTGGCTCGATCGTCGGGGTGCATAAAGATCTGATGATACCCCGAGAATGCGTCCATGAAGCTAAGCAAGGCATGGCCACTTGTCGAATCGACTAGCTGATCGATTCTCGGCAAGGGATAGAAATCCTTTGGACAAGCCTTATTTAGGTCCGTGAAGTCAACGCACATCCTCCAGGTACCATTGGGCTTCTGAACCATCACCACATTTGCCAGCCATTCTGGATATTGGCAAGGTTCAATGAATCCTGCCTCCAATAATTTTTTGACCTCGACTGCGATGTCTCGGTTCTTATTGGCGGAGTAATTCCGCTTCTTTTGCTTAACTGGTCGACACGTTGGGTCAACATTAAGCTTATGGGAGATGAGGTCTGAACTTATCCCGGGCATATCAGCTGCCGAGAAAGCAAACCCATCTCTGTTATCCCGAAGGAGCTGAATAAGTTCACAACGGGTGTTAGGATCAAGGTCCATCCCGATTGTTACACATTTCTCAGCATCTCCTTCGGCCAACTCAACTGTTTCAGTCTGTTGGTCCATGTCCATTGCCGATGGACTGGACTCTTCAGAATCTGGTCTGCTGCCAATGTCAGCAGGTGTCCCAGTCTTTGTGTTCTTCGGCTGGCTCTCTGAGTCTTGCGGCTCAGCTGAAGAGCCAGCCTTTTCCCCTTCGGGCCCTTTTTCTCTGGGCACGGATCCTTGGGCCGAAGCACTTAGGCCTTTCGGCTTTTTTGTGCTTGGCTCTCTTTCTTTTCCTTTCCCCTCCTCATCCTTGTCGTCATCTGGGCGACTACTGGATGGCTTGAGGTAGTTGCACCTTCGGGCGTCCTTTTGGTTGCCCTGTATCCTTTCGGGGAAGCCGGCGTCTGAGACGTAAATCATCAGCTGATGATAAGTTGAGACGACCCCTTGGATCTCGTGAATTATGGGTCTCCCCAAAATCACGTTGTACACTGAAGGAGCGTCGATGACCAAAAATTCAATCATGACGTTCCGGGCTGCCTCATCGCAACCGATGGTGATAGGAAGTGTCACCTTCCCATCTGGATAAGTTGAAGCCCCATTGAACCCGGATACCGGATAGGGTACCGGCGTAAGGTGCTTGGGCTTCAGCTTAATTTGATTGTAGGCCTTTCGGAACAGAATGTTTGCTCCACTGCCACCGTCAACAAGGACCTTACTGACGTCGTGGTTGGCCACCGTGGCGATGATCACCAACGGATCCTCATGAGGGAACGTGATCCCCCGGCAGTCGGCGGCTGTGAACGTCATGTTCGGCACCGGCGACTGGGGAGATTGAATGTCAGCGTTGTTCACCTGGTGAGTCAAAGCTCTAAGGTGGCGCTTGTGCTCCCTCCGCGAGTATATTCCTCCCGAGATAACATTGATCGGAGGGAATTTCCCCTCCGGCTTTTTACTGTTTTTCCGGGGGAAATCAAGGTCCTGCCGAGGGTCCTTTGCTGACCTCTCAGATTCTTTTTTCTCGCGGTGATCCGCGATGTATTTTTTCAAGTATCCCTTCCGGACCATGTCCTCTATCTGGTCCTTCAGTTGGATACACTCCTCAGTGTTGTGGCCCGAAGACTCGTGGAACTCACACCACTGACTTTTATTTTTTCGCTGATACCACTCTGGGAGTGGTCGCGGCTTTCGGTAACTCTGCTCTTCCTTCGTCACACTGTAAATCTTGGCGCGTGGAAGAGAGAGCGGAGTGTAGGACTCGTATCTGCATGTGTATGAGGCAAATCTGTCCTTCTTTAGGTCGTTGGCCAAAGATGGCTCCGGAGCCTTTGATTTTCCCTTTGCCTTATGGCCTTGGCCTTCAGACAAGGGTATTTGCCTCTGTTTCCCTCCCCCGGATTGAGGTTGGGTTTTTGCTTTATTCCATTCTTCGGCTCGGATGAACTTATCCGAAGCACTAAGAGCTTCCTCCAAGGTCTGCGGGGTATGCATGACCATGAAGTCTAGGAACTTTCCTGGCTGAAGGCCATTCTGCATTGCAAAAACAGCTAACCCCTGGTCCAGCTGGGAGACGCTTGATGACTCGTTACTGAAACGGGTCAGGTAGTCTCGGAGGCTTTCGGTTTCCCCCTGTTGCAGACTCATGAGCTCTGCGGTAGTCTTCTCTCGGCGGTTTGCCGTGGAAAACTTGCTCCTGAACTTGGAGGACAGATCATCCCAACCTGTTATGGAGCCTTGCCTTACTCCCTTGGAGATCCACGCTTGCGCGACCCCCTTGAGAGTGGTTGGGAAATATTTGCACCAAGTCGCCTCGGATCTGGGCCAAAGGTGCATATGAGTCTCATACGAGGCCACGTGGTCCTTCGGATCCGTGGTCCCGTCATATGTGATATGCGACGGTATTTTAACCGTGGGTACGCGCTCTTCCAGTATCCATTGCTCGAATGGTGAACTAGCGGGTAGCATAACGGCCTTGCCCTTGTTCCTGGCCGAAGGGACCGCGCTCCGCCCTCTTAGAGAGGTAGGAGTGGTTTTCGTCCCTGGCTGGGAAGTCTGGGCCTCGGCTGCAGGGAACGAGAGGCGACTACGCACGCTCGGTTCCTGGCCGCCGAGTCGGTCAAGGACGCTTCTGCGAACAGTCTCAGGTTCTCGGTGAGTAGATTCTGGCCGAGAAGCTGAGCTGCTGCTCTTATGCGCTTCTGGTCTTGAGGATGAGGATCCTTTTAATAATCGAGGGTTCTTTTTCCTCTGTTTTTCATTTTTCCAAGAATCCTCCTCCCACTCTTCCAGTTCCCGGAAGGAAGGAAGCTTCCCACCGTCATGGTCTAACTTCCTCCGCTGATGCCGGGTATGCGGAGGAGTTCGATCACGAGGCGGTGGCATATTTTGTGCCCTCATTGCCTCCATGAGTACTGTCAGCGCTCTTGCCACCTCTTCCGAACTGGGCCCCGTCAAAGGGGTCCTCGGCCGAGTGTGGGAATGAGGCCGCGCAGCCGATGGTTGGCTTTGGGACACTGAATATGTCCTCTGATCAGACTGACCCCTGCTAGACCGAGAGTGGTCCGGCCTATATTGAGAGTCATGCATTACGGGAGATAGGGAATCCTCCTTGTATGATCCTCCCCCCGAGCCGGCACCCTTGGGAGAGTTCCGGTCCGGCGAGGGCGATGGTGTAGGGGTTTTAGGCTTTTCGCCCGCTCCTTGACGGAGGCTTTTGCTCTTGCGGTTCTTAGCCATGGCTGCTAAGATAATTGCAAGATGATCTTGGTTAGGAATTTGGCTTAAAGATTTTTGAAAGTCTTCCCCACAGACGGCGCCAAATTGTTTCGGGTGAAAACAATGGGACCTTGCCGAAGGTCCGCTGAAATGGAGAAGACTGGATTCGGTCCAAGTTATGTTGGGCCGAAGGTTTCCTGCACAGTAAACACACGTAAACTAGCCTCGGGGGTGTTGCCGAGGAAGGCCCCTCCGATGCTAAAGTCAGTACAATGTGTAAAAAGAAGACACTATGCAAGAGAGTTTGTAGCTTGAGGCTTTTATGGAATATATCCGAATATATGAATGAGCATATGAATCAGAATATGAGTATGAACGTCAATATGAGAATGTGTCAATATGATGGCTTTTATACCTCATCATACATGGAGAGGTTGGGCCTTAGCCCAATTGGCTTGCTTTGTGGGCTGACCTTTGACTTTTGCACAATTGGAGAGTTGAACCTTGACCTTGGGCTTTTAATTGGATCATTTAGTGCTTAGGCCCAATTTTGACTAAATTGGACCCAAACAGATGCTATAGTGAAAAATGGGATCTATGGGACTATTTCCCGTGACCTAGTTACCACAATCATGAAACCGGGTGCAACGGCTCTCGAATTATGGACCCGGCTTGAGGAGATTTTTCATGACAATAAGCATACTAGGGCTGTGTATTTGGAGGAACAATTTGCAAAAACAAAGCTTGAGAATTTTGCAAATATGTCTGATTATTGTAAGCAACTCAAATTACTCGCGGACCAACTCGCTAATGTTGATTGCCCCGTCTCCGATCGCAAGATGGTTATGCAACTCATTGCCGGTCTCACTATGGGCGAATATGACACGGTGGCTGCCATTGTTTCTCAGTCCGATCCCACCCCAAGCTTCAATAAGGCTCGTTCTATGTTTCTCTTGGAGGAAACTCGACAAAACAAGCAGTCCGAATCTGGACAGCACGCTCTTGTGGCCCAACATTCCCAATCTCCAACCTCCGGCAACACTCCGACGTCACAGTCACCGGTTTCCGACCACCAGCAGACCGGCGGTGGCGGCGGACGAGGAAAGGGGAAGGGGCGTGGCAGCAGCAATGGAAAGGGGAAGGGCCGTGGGAAAAATCGCAACAACAATAACACCCAACAACAACAAGCAACTGGGCCCAATGCCAATCAGGCCCAGCAGCAGCAGCAAAGCCCTCAGTGGGGTAGGTCGTATGGCTGGGCTCCCCGGCAGCAGGGTCAGTGGGCTTCTCCGCCCTGTCCCTTTCCCACTGGCCTAGTAGGTGCTTTCTCTTATCGTGGGCAGCAGCAGGGCTCCATCTTGGGCCCACGCCCGCAACAGAATCAGGCCTACTACGTTGGCAGTCAACACGGTTACGGTCCACCTATAACGGATGGTACATGGACACGGGGGCCACTTCTCATATGACTCGAGACTCGGGTATTCTTTCTAACCTTTCTAGTTTGAGTTTTCCTCAATATATTTTTGTTGATGATGGCAAACGCATTTCTGTTTATGGTTATGGCACAACCACTACTCCCTCACCTAACCCACCTTTCCACCTTAAGAATGTCCTATATGTTCCTAACATCATTAAAAATTTAATTTCTGTTAGAAAATTTGCATGTGACAATTCTGTTTCTGTTGAATTTGACCCTCTCGGTTTTTCTGTGAAGGACCTTCTTTCGGGGACAACTCTAGCTCGGTGCAATAGTGTGGGGGACCTCTATACTTTTTCAACTTCTTCCGTTTCATATGGCTCTAGTCATCTTTCTCTAGCTGCAATTTCTCCTTCAGTTTGGCATCATAGACTTGGAAACCCCGGCGAATCAGGTTTTGATATTCTTAGAAACAAAAATTTAATTCGTTGTAATAAGAGAAATGGTTCTTATTTTTGCTAATCTTGTCCTTTGGGAAAACATGTACGACTTCCTTTTAAGTCATCTAATACTGTTACTTTTTCTCCCTTTGATGTTATTCATATCGATTTATGGACTTCTCCAATTGTTAGCAAAATGGGTCATAAATACTACCTTGTGTTACTTGATGATTTCTCTCATTTTATTTGGGTTTTTCCTATCAAATATAAGTCTCAAGTCTTTGATATTCTTCTTAATTTTCGAGCATATGTTAAAACTCAATTCGAAAGGAATGTTAAGACCTTTCAAAATGACAATGGCCGTGAATTTGACAATTCCCCATTCCACAAATTTTGTGCACATCATGGCATGCTCTTTCGTCTCTCTTGCCCTCACACTTCTTCCCAAAACGGCAAAGCCGAAAGAATTATTCGCACAATTAATAACATGTCTCGCACTATTCTTTTCCATGCCTCTCTTCCTCCCTTATTTTGGGTTTATGCGATTCATATGGTTGCCTACATTCTTAACATTCTTCCATCCACAACCATCCAAAATCGCACTCCAACCGACATTCTTTATCGAAGAACTCCTACCTATGATCACCTTCGTGTTTTCGGTTGTCTATGTTACCCAAACTTGAGTGCTACGGCACATCATAAGCTTGCCCCTAGATCTACTCCGTGTGTCTTCTTGGGTTTTCCTTCTAATCATAGAGGTTACTTATGCTATGATCTTTCCTCCAATAAAATTATCATTTCCCGTCACGTGACTTTTGTTGAGGATCAATTTCCTTTCTCGAACCTCAAACAATTTAAAAATGATGACTATGATTTTTTGGAGTCAAGCACCTCCTTTGATTTCCTTCCCTTACTACTGCAAAGTCAGCCCAATCCCACTCCACACACGCAGCCCAACCCACTGCCAGCAAGCCCAAACCCGCCACCTTCTCCACCCAACTCTCCTTTAACTCCACTCACCCCACAGAATAGTTCGCAGGTGGGCTGCGGGGGAGTCCAGCAGACCACGGCCCAACTGCGAACCCCCCTGCCCAATCCACGAAATTCACCTCCTAGCCCACCTATTTCCCCCATTTCACCATCTATCCAATTCGGTTCATTACCGAATCCTACCCCGGTCCTCTCTCCTCAATCTCGGCCCCATATACAGCCTTCCCACACTATGACCACTCGTGCTAAAGACGGAATTTTTAAGCCGAACCCCAAATACCAAGCCAATATTGTGTTTCCCGATATTTCTCCAATTCCGAAAAATCCGAAATTAGCATTGCTTGACCATAACTGGAATGCCGCCATGAATGAGGAATTTAATTCTCTTACTAGTCAGCATACTTGGGATCTTGTTCCAAGACCGGAGGGGGTCAATATTATTCGTTGTATGTGGTTGTTTAAACACAAATACAGGAAAAATGGTGAATTGGAGAGGCACAAAGCAAGACTTGTTGTCAATGGCAAGTCTCAACAGGTTGGTGTGGACTGTGATGAAACTTTTAGTCCTGTGGTGAAACCGGCGACTATTCGTACGGTTTTGAGTATTGCTCTGGGTAGAGACTGGCCCATTCATCAGTTAGATGTGAAAAATGCGTTTCTTCATGGCAACCTCAAAGAAACGATGTATATGCATCAACCGCCAGGATTTGTTAATCCTGATGCTCCGACTCATGTTTGTCGACTTAATAGGTCTCTTTATGGTCTTAAACAAGCCCCACAGGCTTGGTACCAACGGTTTGCTAATTATCTCTTGCAGATTGGTTTTGTATGCAGCAAAAGTGATAATTCTCTCTTTATTTTGCGACATGGTGCTAATGTTGCATATCTTTTGCTCTATGTTGATGACATTGTTCTTACAGCTTCCTCTGAAAAATTAAAGGGTGATATAATTGCCCTTCTCAAGTCCGAGTTTTCGATGACTGATTTAGGGAAGCTGAGTTATTTTTTGGGAATTTGTGTCACCCGCACAAAGGACTCCATGATTCTTTGTCAGAGTAAGTATGCAGAGGAGATTATTCACAGGGCTAAGATGGATAATTGCAAACCGGTTGTTACTCCAGTCGACACTAAGTCGAAGCTCAGTGCTCACGATGGTGAGCCAATGCAGGATCCCTCTCTCTACAGGAGCCTCGCAGGTGCCCTTCAGTATCTCACTTTCATGAGACCTAACATTGCTTATGCCGTTCAGCAGGTTTGTCTGTTTATGCATGCTCCTAGGGAACCTCATTTTAACGCTCTTAAGCGTATTATCAGATATATCAAAGGCACTTATGATCATGGCCTACATTTGTACCGTTCTGCGCCTACGAGACTTACTTCTTACACAGATGTCGATTGGGCAGGCTGCCCGGACACTCGGCGCTCCACTTCAGGGTATTGTGTTTATTTGGGTGATAATATGGTCTCCTGGTCCGCAAAACGACAAGCTACATTGTCTAAATCAAGTGCCGAAGCAAAATATCGAGGTGTTGCTAATGTTGTTTCTGAATTATGTTGGCTCAGGAATCTCCTTCTCGAGTTACATTGCCCCGTTCGACGGGCATCCTTGGTTTATTGTGATAATATTTCTGTTGTTTACTTGTCTTGCAACCCGGTACAACACCATCGTACCAAGCACATTGAGATCGACATTCATTTTGTCCGTGATAAGGTTGCACTTGGTGATATTAAGGTCTTACATGTTCCTTCTTCTTCACAGTACGCAGATATTTTCACTAAAGGTTTACCTCGCCAACTATTCTTAGATTTCAGAGACAGTCTTAGCGTTCGTCCTCCTCCCGCTTCGACTGCGGGGGTGTGTTAGATAATAGATTTATATATTATCTTGTTAATATTCTGTAAAGATATATCGTGTGTAATTAGCCTCTCATAATTAGGTTGTAAATACCTATATATATTGATTAATGAGAAACACTCCAATTAAGGAGAATTACACATTTCTACAGAAATGTAGGTCTGATAAATATGAAGATGTTACAGAAATGGCAAAAAACTTACCATAGTCGACAGAGATGATCTCTCGCAATCTCTCTTAAAAAGATAAAAGAATGAAATATGAAAATTGTTGTTTATCGATGATTTAGACTTAAGAGGGTGATTAGCAAACAAAGAAACAAATGAAAAATGAAATATGTTTTTATAATGATCCAAAGCTATCGGGCATTTCATTCCATGTCTGCATTTTTTCCCCTTTTTATTTATTTATTTATTTATTTGCATCCTTTTAAAGATTTCTGGAGTAAAAATAAGCACACATATTAAAATCCCTTATGATACGAGTATGTTATTTCATCTTCTCTAGATATCATATCATATACTACCTTCAGTCCAAATTACTCGCAACTTTGAAATATTTAATATCTCACAAATAGTACCCCAAAGTTGTAAGTAATTTGGACCGGAAGTAGTACAATAATTTGTTCAATAAAAGTGACAAATTTTAACACGTATTAAAATAATATTCCCAAGAGAAACAGAAGCAATTTTTTTTTTAATTGGATAATATATTGGCAATATCACCAATGCAATACTGCATGCATGAAATGTGACATAAATTTCAGACCTCAGTACTCAAAGAAAGAACAGATGAAATCTCTGCCTTTATAAAGCTCATATTAGGGACCAAATCATACCCGTTTTATCTCAAAAGTATACATTCAAATAATCATATGCATGCCTCAGTAATCACTCGCCGAGGGCAGCATACTCTAAGGGATTCCAAGTTTCCATAGCCCAAAATGGCCCCCATATATATATATGTATAAACCACTGTCACAACTCAACTAATTTACAGCAAAATGAATTCAGCTCACCAGATGAATGACACAAGTAAACAATTAACAATTGTACAATGACAGAAAGAAAAAAAATACACAACTAGGAACCAAATAAATATACATAGGACCTTACATAATAATTGTACAACACTGGATCAGATCCACTCTACTCCAAAGGCATAAATAGTTGGAGAAGTTTGGATATTGACAAAATCTCTGCCATCGTTCAAGGACTAGCGTAGACGAGCTCCACATGACAGTCATAGTAGTCATATTACAAAGTTACTGTCCTATGAATCATCTTCTTCGTCTGTTTAAACCCAAATCAGGGTTGCCTTTCTTCATCATAGCTACAAATTCCTCATAATTAATTCTACCATCCTGCATAGGAGAGGAGAAATATAATTTAGTCCAATTAAAAACAATGCCATATAGCATTAGAGTCTCTTCGAGATGAATGAGAGCATAACTATAAAATGACAAGCTATGTTCAAGAATAATGAGGCAGGAGCTAAGCAGGATTATGAATTATGAATATCTACTACAAGGGACATAAGGAATCATAGACAAGAAGATACATTATCTGTGTCAACTTCAGCAATTATCTCCTTTATTGTTTTCTCGTCACCCATATTATACTTCTTCAAGGCTTGCTCTAGTTCCTCCATGGTTATGTACCTAATGAAGTGATAAACCAAGCAAGACAGTATTCATTAATCAGGATACAAAGCTGTTGAAACTGTTTCAAAAATATACAAGACATTTAAAAACCAAGAGCAAGCTACCCGCTCTTGTCCTCGTCAAAATATTCAAAGGCCTTGTACAGATGGTCCTCCTTCTCCATCCTATTCATATGCATTGTGGCTGTGATGAACTCCATGTAATCAATGGTTCCATTACCATCGATATCAGCCTGCAATTGAAAATACACATTGTCATAAAGTTGCTTTAAGCTCAATTTGCAGAGCTAGAATTTTAAAATAAAATATGTGAAACTGATTGTTAAATGAACTGCTATAATAAAGCTATACATGGCAGCAAAGTGTACAATGAAGTTATTTACATATTGAATCCATGGAAAACAGAAACTTCCTTCAAAAAAAGGTGGAAAACAGGATAAGGTTTCAATCAATAATGAGAACTAATTTCTTTAACATTATAAGTTTTGCCAAATTTTTATTTTAACTATACAGCTTAAATTTCAAAGTTTGGTAGCACACAAAGTCACAACCCTCCAGCTCAAAACACCCAAAGACAATGGTAGTGTTTGAACTTAAGGCGATATCTTGAAGCAATATTCCCTGAAAACCCCAAAGGTAAAAGCATTAAGGGACATACCCCAGCAAATCAAGGTACAGACTATCCTTTTCCTTTTTTTTTTTTTCATATAATTGGCAAGTATAACAGCTTTAATTGCATGAAATTACATGTGTAATTCACAGCAGTAAATCATGTACTCCCTTCATAATTGCCACATTGTGCTAATACCTACTGTAAAGGCAATATCTATGTTCTTTAGTATTCTTGACAGTTAAAATTTGCACAATAATTTAGGCACGGAGACTCAGATAAACAGAATGAAAAAGTTGGGGGGGGGGGGATGGCAAAAAAACATGATATTGGATTTATTAACGACTAGTGACTCATAAAATGGGTTACTTAAGTAGAAAAGAGGAGGGTACAAGTGTAAAAAAATCATTTTCCAAAATAGAACAACGTACAAGTGTAAAGAACAAAAAGTAACTCAAGTAGCATTTCACATGATTTATGAATGGTCTTTCAAATAGTTGGTTCATTTCTATCATTTTCCCATCATCAATATAAGTTGGGTATTTAAAAGAATTTAAAAACCATCGCTTTTTAGGTCAGGTGAATATTATAATCCCAAATAAAAAGGAGCTCAAGGTCAAGTATCCTTCTTCCCCACTTTTAGTATTGCAACATTTGTAATTTCACAATTGCCCGTGCACAAGTCTAACAATTGTTTTTTAATTTATCTATTGATAAAAAAATATACCTTGAGACTAATTCAACAACATATAACATGATGACATTTCTTTTTATCGTAAAACAAATAGTCAAAGTGAAAATTGAAAAAGTCCAAGTGCCACAATAATATATGAACAGAGGAAGTACCGACTAATTGACTAGAGTGAACATGTAATGATCCTCTTAAAAATCTACAACTTCGTGCCTTAAATCTGTTTGGCATAAGGTTTTTAATCTATAATGCCAAAGGTTGAACATTCACTCTGTATAAGACACAATTAACAAAGAAATAAACGATAATATTAGGGGCATACCGCTTCCATCAACTGCCTGACTTCAGACTCTGACAGCTTGGTTCCCAGCTTTGGAAGACCAGCCTTTAACTCTTCATAGGTAATAGTTCCGCTGTTGTCTGTATCCATAGATCTAAACATTTCTTTTAAACCCATTATTTCTTCTTCAGAAAGGTTCTCAGCAATTACCTAGAAAGGAAGGAGAGCATGCATATGAAGTGTCATAAAAAATAAGCCAGAAAATAGAAATGGAATTCGGGAGAGAACAACTGAGCCTTCAGATCTCACCCTTAATGCTACTTTTTTCAGTTTGTTCATTGCTCTGAATTGCTTCATTCTGGTTAAAACAGCAATATCAATTGGCTTGTCAGGAGCTTCTCCATCTTCTCTCATCCATGGATGGTCTGCAGTTCATTCAGAATTACGTCGTCAAGTTCAATTATAGAAGGGAATTAAGGTATATTTACAAAGGATAATTGGATTTATATAATCAAAACTGTAGGAGTGCTTTTTTTGTGTGAGAGTGAGGGGGGGGGGGTCAACCTTCAAACTTTGATGGTACCAATGTAATTTTTTTCCCAAGAATTTAAAGTTAGCAATTTTTTTCTTGAAGACTATCCTTTTTTTTTTTTACTACCTTTAAAAAAAATTGAATTAGTTCTAATGAATAGTGTCCGGACAATTATACCCTCTAAAATGGTTATTTACTTATTTTCCCTCATTAGTGTCAAATGTCAATTGCCTCTTTTGTGAACTTTAAAGAATAGTGTGGAAACATTTATACCCCTAAAAATATTTGGTTATATAATTTCCCTCTGGACATGGTTAACTACAGCGCGTGCATTGCACACGTTAGCCACCCTAGTATAATTGGAAAGTTATTTTCTCAAAAGCAAAAGGATGAATTAATTTGCATTGAGAAGTCACACGATCCCAAAGTTACTAAATAATACCAGCAGTAAAAGTAGAATATTTTTTTTCAAAAAAAAAAAAAAGAACGAAAGCAAACTTATAGAACATAATAACTACAGTCTTTAAAACCATCCCTCTAAAGTTGGGACTATTAACATCCTAGTATGAAGTTAAGTAAATATTTGTTCAATCATCCATAGTTTGGATCATTATAAGAAAAATGACTAATCTATCTAAAAGAGTGAAGTAAGCTGTAAGCCTATCAGAAAGATGACCACAGTAATGAACATCAAATAACATTTATTTATGTCCGTAGACATTACATTCATTTTTAGGAAAATTAAACAGTTTTAGATGTTACTCTTGATTATGGGATGGTGAAATTTCATTTAATAATAGTACTCCGATATATGAAGTGATTCATAATGATGGCAATGGGATGTCATTTAGCACTTTCATATAGTCATGCTTTTGTCTTATATACTTTAGAATATAAATCTTGCATAAAACTTACTTAAAGCATCAAGAGCAGAAAGCCTGTCCTTAGGCTCCTGACGCAACATCTTCTTCACAAGATCTTTGGCACTACTGGATATTGAAGGCCATGGATCAGATGTGAAATCAAGAATGCCCCGTAAAATAGCATCAAAGATACCCTGCTCATTCTCTTACATGGAATAGGAAAAAATGTCAGTATTGTGCATCAATAAGCAAAAGATATGGTAAACAATATAGCCCTTACAAAACAAGTTCAGCAGTTAGATTCTATCCAAACAAGAATCCAATTTATAAAGTGAAAATATATACTACCTCCGGTCCACTTTACTAGCAACTTTGAGGGTGATTGCGGAGGCCGAGGCAAAAGATCATAAGCATGATTATTGAAAGATAAGGGTATATGCTTAAGTTTTAATTCAACCTTAAAAAAAAAAAAAACAAATTCAATTAAATTTATTTAAAATTTACCCACCACTACCGGCACCACCTAGCTGCACAGAAAACACCCACCGGCCACCACCACCACCACCACCTACCACCAAACCCAGCCACGACCACCAACCCAGCCACGACCACCAAACCAACGACCAAACCCAGACCACGACCACTAACCTACGACCACCAACCCAGCACACCGACACAACCAATCCAGCAGACCCGAGGCCACCGATCTTAGACCACACCGACACAAACAACACCGAAACCACCAACCCCAACCCATCGATTTGAAACCCACGAGGCCAACGATTGTAGACCACGCCGCAGCCGATCTTAAACCACGAGGAAGGAGAGGAGAGAGAACCCCACCAACGATCTGAAACCACCCCAAACCCACAGACCCAAAGATCCACAAACCCACGAACCCAAAGATCCACGAACCCACAAACCCAGCAACCGATTTCCTAGCTCGCCACCAGAAGGAAATGCAGTGAACACTCGCAAAGGAGTCTGCCGAATTATCGCCGGAAAATTCCTTCGACATCAAACTCTTAAAGTCGTCGGAAATCGCCCCTAAAATCTGATAAAACTCACCGAAAATCGCCGCTGAAATCAAGACAGGTTGAAGGAGGAGAGAAAAAAAATGGGGATGAGGAAGAAGATGTAGAAATTTGATGAAGGTGATGAGGAGGAAGATGAAGGTGGCTGAAATTCCAAAAGGTGGCTGATTAGATGGAAAGGGGTTGATTTTGGTGAAAATAATTAACTTAATTCATGTTAGGGTTTAAGGTAATTAGATAAAATCAGTTTTTTAATTAGGGTGTTTTAAAATAAAAGTAAGGGTAAAATGGTAACTTTACCACTAAAAAGTTACTAAAAAAGGAAAGAAATGGGAAAGTTGCAAGTAATTTGGACCACCCCAAAAAGGAAATAGTTGCGAGTAAAGTGGACCGGAGGTAGTATAATGGCATCTATTGGCCAATCAATCTTTGCAAGGCTTATATATATTTAAAAAAAAAGAAAAAAAAAACATTAATGGAACAACTGAGAGAGCAACATAAAAAGTGTCCATCACACAGAAATGAAAAATTATGTATAAATGAACAACAGGGCAAGAGAATTCACGAAACTTCAATCTCATATAATATCTTAATGGAGGAGAAGAAGAATACCTCCCCAAAATGGTGGAACTCCACTTAGGAGGATGTATAATATCACTCCAGCACTCCAAACATCAGCTTCAGCACCATAACTACGACGTAAAACCTCAGGAGCTACATAATATGCACTCCCAACAAGGTCTTTAAAAACGTTTCCTGCATCCACAAGTACAAAACTGTTTATAAACTTAAACTTTTGATAGATAATAAACTTCCTGCATAAACAAATGAGTCTCGTGTAGAATAAACTTGCACAATGGTGGTGATTTATGTTACCTGGAATGGAATTTTTCATTAGGTATATATTAGCTAGCATAAAACCAAAGTGGTTCGGTTAAATGTTGTAGGATTGATGTTGGCAACACCTAGAAACTTAGTCCCTCCTTATCACATCAGTTTTGACCCTTAACACGGCAACATAGGTGATAAGGTTTATCAATTGTTATTTTATTAGAAAAGTAGATGTAAAATGATATATAATCAAGTATTAAAAAGGTAGATGTAATAGATGATAATTTTTAGTGAATGTGAGATAGTGTGGGGCCCTAGCTTTTTGATAGGAGAAAGAGAGATGCTTTAAGATAAGGGTGGAGATTTACCAAAATAAAAGTGTAAAAATAATTTAAACAAATCCAAAGGAAAGTAAAAACTAACCAGAGACAGGACAAAAATTTAATTAATGCTAAAATTGTGACAATATATTGGCACTTAAAATTATTCCCTTTGCTTTATATAAGCTACCACTTTTTCATTTTGAGATTGAATTTTGGCTTAAAAGGCTCCTCGGCTTTTCAAAAAAAAAAAAAAAAAAGTTTCAGCAAGTTTTCAATAAAAATAAGTTAAGTTCAACTAAGTAGGGAAGGACAGAGCCTAACTTATCTCATTGCATATCATTAAATTTTTACAGATTGATATTTTAAAAGTATTTCCTTTGTTCTTTTTGTTCTACTAATTTTTTGTTTTTGGTCGTTCTTCTTTGTTTTACTTGATTTGCTTTATTCTAATGTCATACCTTTTTTACCATCTTACATTCTTACCCCTTCAACTCCACAATAATTACACCTTTTCATACACTCCCTTATTCACCTTTTTCTATCACAAACACACCTTTTTATATTCTCTCTCATACTTAATCCTACTTTATCTTACACCCACTTACATTCTTCAACATTTTCTTAAATTGCATATCTATAGTTACTGAAAAGGACATAAAAGAACAAAGAGAGTTCTTCAATATATGAATCTACTGATATTACTTGTACAAACTAACAAAAGTAATAAATACATATTGAGAGATATTATCAGCCAAATGTAGTGATGTGAGTAATTTTGAGGGAGTGCTAGGAGCCCATGGCTCTTTCTTGTAGATTCGTATAATCCTCCAAAATAAGTTAATAATCGGAAAGACCTATTCTTGAAGAGGAAAGAAGAAATGGATTTCAATTTCTTATGAGACAATAGGGCAGGATGGTTTCAATAGTAAAAAAAAATTACAAATTTTTATATGCGGCTCGCCACATGATGCGGCAAGGGTTACTTGTTGGGTGTTACTGGTTTTGTTAGGGGTTACTTGTAAGTGTTACTTGTATTATAGGGTTACTTGTATGGGTGTTACTGGTTTTGGTCAGGAGTTATTTGTAGGGTGTTACTGAATTTGTTAGAGGTTACTTGTAGGTGTTACTTATATTCTGGGGTTACTTGTATGAGTGTTACTGGTTTTAGTCAAGGGTTACTTGTAGGGTGTTACTGGTTTGGTATGAAGTTTCTTGTAGGAGTTACTCATAATATAAGTAACACCTATAAGTAACCCCACGATACAAGTAACCCATACAATTAACCTCATAATACAAGTAAACCCATAATACAAGTAACCCTAGAATACAAGTAAAACCCAATAAGTAACCCTTGCCGCACCATGTGGCTTGCCGCACTGAAAAACCTCTGAATAAAAATAGGATGAGATATATTATGTACAAGATTTATCCAATTCCCCAAAAGAAGCATCAACTCTTCCTTTATTACATTGAAAAGGTTGTTAATTCCCCAAATTTTTAATCCATTGAGGGTCAATGTAATACTATTAACTTGATTGGAAGTTCACAAAGAACCATTGCTAAACATTTGTCCAACAAGCGAAGGGATTATGAACTCCATAATCAATGATACCTAAACTGCTATTAGCCCACAAAACATAAAAATAGTTCCTTATAGCAAATGTGGTAGTAGTTTTTTACGAAACACAGGAAACTCAGTCTTATCCCTGAGACTGTTTTGCTGCTGGGACAAAATTAAGTACTCCTTCTAATTTGAGTAATTTCTACCCATTTACTATGGATCATCTACATGGACCAACATGTTATCCCTGTGAGTTTCTTAGGTAATCTTTTTTCTCTCCAGTCTCCAGTCTCCACTCATCCTTATCCAATGCAAAATGATCCGGAAGATGCAATTGTTTCATGTCCCTTGTCACCCTTTCCATCCTAATCATCTTTGGGTTTTTTAATTTTTACTTTTTATTATCTTTATTATGTCTGCATTCTCTGAATCAGTACTTCTAGATGTTGCTGTTAGTGACCTGACTGACCTCAATTTGACAAATATACGGATTTCTTAGCAGCAAAGCGACAGATTTTCACAAGACAAAATCTCCGCTCTATCTGGGAAAATACTTGTTGGAAGTGGCTTTGATAATGGAAAACTTTAATCGATTCAAGGTAGTCCATAGGCATCAATGAATGCACTTGCTTCCTTGATCACTAATAGTTTTTAACTGATTCCTAACAATGGTAACAAGGACAAAATTCGGCTTGACAAGGAATTGGAAGGGAGGTTTCTATTTGATACTTTTTCTTTCCTTCAAGCACCGTGAGTATTAAGAAGATATTGGGTGGGTCAAATTTTGGTTTTAAAACCTTCACTAAAAGCAAAATACCCAAAAGATGAAAAAAAGATTTTTTTTTTTTTTTTTCAATTGCATCCACAGCAGGGGAATTTCCCACAAATTGAGCCCCTTTTTCTTAGAAGACGGTTTTGATTTCAGGAAGGAAGAAAAATAAATAGGCTCTGTAAGTTGCCTTCTTAGAAGACGGTTTTGATTTCAAGGCCTCATATGTGATGAGTGCCTAATTTAATTTTTGCTGCCAAGTTCTACAAAATAAGGATTCCAACCAAGACAATCTTAAGAAGAGGAACCCTCTCACACACTCTAATAAAGAGTGTTCCTTTTGTTATAAACTGATTTCACCTACAATGTGGTATAAAGAGGCACTTAAAACAGATATGGAAGCATAATTCACTACCTAGTTCTGTTCAACTAGTCCACAAAGTAATCCCATATCAATTATCAATTTGCATGCTCATGGGTTAGTAGAATAGCTGTGAAAAATTAGGAAGCACGTAGTGATAATCTAGAAGACTGGGATTACTATCACTGACACCATTTTAGCATGTGCTGCATATGAGAAAGATGGAAATTTTACTGAAGCTTGACTATTATCGTTGCTAATTTACGTCTGAAATAGAGGTACTTTCAGATGTTTAAAAAATTAAATTAAAAAAACTATAAATGATAGATTTTAACGTTAACATGTTACTTTTTCACGCTTGTTTATATATAACTTTGGTCATTATTATGTCTAACCAGTCTAATTATGTATATGTAGTCTGTACAAACTATAAACAGTTATTATCTTGAAAATACATATTGAGGCGAAACTAGCAAGATTGCACATCACTACATTATTCCTTACATATAAATCACACACGATGGTCAAAGTGAAATTTGAGAAGTGTGCCAAAATTATAGTTTAAAATCAATTTGAAACAAAGGCTATACATAAAAGTGGAGTTGATTGTTTTATATGCAGAATTATGCTTTAAATAGTGGATAAAAATAAATTACAATTCCAGATGAAAAAATTGTGATAAGAGGACTGGATTGGAACAACAAAACACAGAAGCTTTCTATGGTTTTAGGAGAATTGTTAAGGCAGGAATTGCCTTCATATTGGCTTCAAAATATGAATTCAAAATTTTTAGATGATGTCCGAAGAAAAAATAATCTAACCAAATTATAATTTAGGAGTACATAGTGGATTTTTTTTTTCTTAAAAAAATACTTTTGATTTAGCCAGTGGGTATTTGGTTAGTCAAAAGTTAATAAGCCAAATTTGTAACTAAAATTATATATTTTGGTATTACTATTTTTAGATAGCATAGCACAAAACTTGTGCATTAAGTAATATCTCAGACGTAGAACTTTATATGGGTTTATATGACTTGGCTATACGGACAAGGGCTTAATTTGGGCAGATAATTGGTCCTAAAATTTTGGTAAAGATCCAAATTAGCATACAATTACATCAATTGAATTATTTTAGACTTTCTTCAAATTTCATTGAATTTAGGACAAAATCCAAAAGTAAATTAATTTGGCCTAAATGCCTGAACTTGGATTTATGGAAAGTCCAAAGTCCAAACAAAATACGGAGTAGTTTATAATAAACCCCTAATCTTCTCATGTATTTTCCTATAAAAAAAATCTTATATTGTTAATTCTTTCAATTTTGCAACAAGTCCTTCAGTAGGTTTATGCACAAGTCAAACAGAAAGGATTCTCCCACTCAAAGACTGGTCACTAATGGGAACCAAATGAGGATGGCTTTAGCTGGGGAAATCGTGAAGCATGACTAAGCATTGGTTATAATCATAATGGGAGTACTTGTGGTATTTTTCTAGTGACCTGGGAGTTTTAGTACTTTAGACTCCAAATAAACTTAATTACATGCTTTTCAACAAGCCCTGAACACTACAATCTCAAGACTTGAAACTTGAAACCATTTCATAAGAGTTGATCTACGAGAATGCTTTCAGTGTGTATCAAGATATGTGGTACGCAACCAGAAGTTGGAGAAAGGAGGTTAGATGGGAGGGGATATGAAGCTGATGAGTTCGATAACAGTTGTATAATCAATTGACAAATAAATAAGGAAATTGTTAGGTGGGTATTTTTAAAAACATGTAACAAGGAGCAAAATAATGAAGCTAAAGTACGGTATGGTATAAGGCTATACGTGGCCAGTATGATCTCTGGTTTCAAATAGAAGCACCTCTCAACAAACATTACATTACACTTGTTGGCAATTAGTTGTCAAATTCAATTAATTAGTCCATAAAATCAAAACCCCCCCAAAGAATATAATGATCTCAATCATTAACACCTTTCTCACAAAGTAACAAACTTTACATGTGCAATTACATTTTTTTAGTTGGTTAACATTAAATTAGAGTTGAAAAATAAATGGATTATCTAAGAGCACCAAACTAATTTGTTATGAAATAATTTCCTATCAACATTCCCTGATACCAAAATCCATAATATTCCAACAAACATTTATTTAACAATGTAATGTACTCGTAACATATTTAACTACCCTAAATCTGCTTCAATATTTTTCTCCATGTATTAAAAACTCTAAATTCTCAATCAATTTACTCAAGTATGCTTCTCATTATACTGAGTACCATGTAATGATTACTCTTCCACACCCATTATACTCCGTATACCGGTATACTGAGCCGTAAATTGCTTCCGCAACTACTTGATACCGAGTAATAACCCGATTTTACATATATTATTGAATACCATTTAATTTAATACGATGATAAAAGTCTATAATTAGATTTAATTCTAACACTATCATAATACCATCATCATTTACAATCTTATACTAACCTAACAATCAACAATACATGATTGTATGTAACATCATTTACCATCTATTATATAAACCAAAATAAATCAACAATAAATCATAATTTAAACAACCAAGAACTCATACCTGATTTGAAGAAAACAGAAAGACCAAAATCAGTTGCTTTCAATGGCGAATCTTCGAGAGAGCTCAAGAACAAGAAATTCTCAGGTTTAAGATCTCTATGCATAACCCCCATAGAATGACAATTATACACAACCGTAACAATCTGCCGAAACAACCGCGCCGCCTCGCGCTCCGAATAATGCCCTTTCGCAATAATCCGATCAAAGAGCTCGCCGCCTGCGCACAATTCCATAACCAAATTGACAGAGTGACGATCTTCATATGCACCTTTAAGCTCAACAATGTTCCTGTGACCAGTAAGATGGTGCATAATCTGAACTTCACGGCGAACATCATCGACATCGTCTTGGTTGAGTAGTTTCCGAGTAGAAATTGATTTACAAGCGAATTGGAGTTTGGTTTCTTTGTGACTGACTAAGTAGGTGACACCAAATTGTCCACGCCCTAATTCGGGGCCGAAAATGTAGCTGGCGCGGACGTCTTCTTTTGGTCGGCCGAGGACTCGGCCGATATCGGAAGTATGAGAATAATTTTGTTGTTGGTTTTGTGGTTGTTGCTTTTGCTGCTGCGATGATTGTTGCTGCTGCTGCTGCGACGGTTGTTGCGGCGGAGGGTCAGGGTGGTCGTGAGGTTGTTGAGGTGGTGGCGAAGGAAGTGGAGGGTCAGGGCGGTTGTCGTAAGAGCGGAGTTGAGAGAGAGTGGAGGGTAAGCCATTACAGTTGCCCATTATTGGAGGAGAGAGAAAATAGGGGAGAATTGGATATGGCGGAAGAAGTGGGGAAAATGGGGTTTTTTTATGTCTGAAGATGAAGGTGGATTGGGTTGGGTTGGGTTGGGTTGGGTTTGAAGGGTTTGACAAATTCAATTGGTGGGATTGAAGGATGAGGACGTTTTTCCAAAGTGAGCCAATTTTGGCAAATATTAACCAAAATGGTTGCGTGGCAAAAGTATTTACCAATCTAAGCTTCCAGGCTAAAACGCTGTCTCGGTCAGCGTTTTATGTCTGGGTTTTTTTTAAAAAAAAAATCAACCTAAAAACGCTGTCTGGGACAGCGTCTTTGTTGTTGACCTTTTTTTAAAAAATTTTGTAATTGCCTTTTATTTATAAAAATATTTTTAAAAAAAAAACAGTTATACCAAAGATGCTGTCCCAGACAGCGTTTAACTCTGGAACTATAAACGCTGTCTCAAACAGCGTTTAAGGTTATTAATGAAATGCTGTCTGAGACAGCGTTTCTGTCGTTTTTTTTTTCCCTCCAACAGCGTATTTCATTTCATTTCCTCCTCCTTCATTCTCAAACCCCTTCTTTCCCAAACTCTAACTTAATCCCCCTCTCTCTCATACTTGTGCTCCTCCGTGTAGACCGTCGTCGGCGCCGCCACCTCCACCGTCGCCCGCCGTCACCTCCACTGTCGCCCTCCGTGTAGCCCACTATACACTCCCCTCACCCTGAAATAGGTATTCATTCAACTTTCTTTGTGTTTTAAATTCTAGGGTTTATGTTGGTGATTTCTAATTTTTTTGGAATTGGGTTAAAATGTTGATGAGGTTGAGTTGTTAGCGTTAAAAATGTTGAATTGTTAGTGTTGGTATTGTTGAATTATTAGTGTTGGTAATTGTTGAATTGTTAGTGTTGATAATGGTAGTGTTGATAATAGTTTGGATAATGTTGAATTGTTGTTGTTGGTTTTGTTGAAAATTGTTGACAATGGTTGATAATTATTAGGTTTTGAACAATTGTAATTACCTACATTGTTGTGTAATAATGGTGATTTAGGGGTTCTTAGTAGTTAATTTGTAGAGTATGTAAAATTTTTTTGTTTGATTGTGGTGATTTAGGGATGATTTAACGGCTTTACGTAAAATGTGTTTTGGTTGTTATGTAGAATATGGCTGGACAAAATGTAGCGTTGTTATGTCGATGGGGAGGTGAAATTTTGTGTAATGGATCAAATGTGGAGTACAGTGGAGGGAATATGGACCTTATAACACTTGAACCGAACATGACTGTGACTGATCTGATGAATGAGGTTCACAATTGTATTGGTTCAAACCCTATGACTGTTGAACTGAACCTTAAAATGAGGTGTGATACTGGTCATGGGGTGCAAGTGTTACCTGTCTCTACGAACAGACATTTGAAAGGTTTGAGGAGCATGGTAGGAATGAAGGGTTTTTCCAATGAGATATATGTAGAAACAGTGCCTATATGTACCCAATAAAGTACTCGGGCAGAACAACAAGCTACATATGTCTCTGATTACAACACCGCGTCCTTCCAAGAGCCCGCAAACCACATTCCATCGAATGCATATGGGATGGGTTCTTTCACTCGAATGATGCAGGACGACCAATTTCACTTGCCTTTTAGTTCTCATATAGCTTCACCAGTACATGCGGGGGGACGCATGACAATGTTCGGCCAGCCTGCTCCGTCGTCATTGAACACCGTGGCATCTTCGCCGATGCAATTGCATAGCTACTCTCCTATGCAAGGTGATGATGGTTCACCGTTTCGAGAAGAGCCAAATCATTTTGATGATGTTGTGAATAATGAATTGTCGGTGTATGATGTGTATGCGGAAATGGATGATGAGGACGAGAACGGAGAGGGGGATGATGAACCAACACAGGTGGAAGATGGTCAGTCGTTGGTTAGAACTCCCATACCTTGGTTCAATGAGGTACCCGAGAACTATGAAGTTGATCAGTATTAGGCCGAATCAGGTAGCCACACCTCTTTTGTTCACGGGGGATAATTTGAGAAGGGAATGTATTTTGAGAGCAAGAAACTGCTTCAAGAAATGGTGAAGATGTATTCTATTAAGAGGAATCAATTCTACACCACAGTGACCTCGAATGATGGTGTCCTACATCTGCGATGCAAGAAGAAATGTGGTTGGATGCTACGGGGTACCAAATCCAGTGAGCACTCACGTGGTTTTACCATAGTCACGTACAAAGGCCCGCATCGGGAGACATGTATCACTGAAGTACTATCTAATGATCACCCACACTTGGATTCGTCCGTAATAGCCGAGTATGTGAAGTCCTTTGTGCGGAAAGATCCTTCGTTGAAAGTGGAATTCATACAGGAACTGATCTCGAAGCAATTTCATTTCGATGTCCCGTATCGACGAGCGTGGTATGCCAAGGAGAAAGCTATAGCTGAGATATTTGGGGATTGGGAGAGTTCATATGGCAGACTTCCCCACTTCATGCAAGCACTCCTACGGTAGAACCCGGGAACATGTGTCGTATGGAAACACAAAGCTTTAGTGGATGGTGTATACTACAGCAACATGGAAGTGTTTGAACGAGTGTTTTGGGCCTTCGGTCCTTGTATCGATGGCTTTAAACATTGTATGCCTGTTATCTGTATCGATGGGACGCACTTGTACGGGAAGTATAAAGGAACACTGTTGGTTGCTACGAGTGTTGATGCAAGCTTCCAAGTATTTCCTATTGCATTTGCGGTGGTTGAAGGGGAAAACACTTCCAGCTGGTCTTGGTTCCTAGGTTGTATTCGAGATCGTGTCACGCAACGGGATGGCCTTTGTGTTATTTCTGATCGGCATCCTGGGATCATTGCAGCAATGAGAACGTGTACGTGCAACAAACCGAAGATATTCCACCTCCCATGTTCTCATGTGCTAGCAGTCTGTGCTACATACTCACTATCAGAACGGCCTTGGGTGGACCCTCTGTTGCAGTCGGCCGCCTACATGAACACCTATGCACCACAGTTCTGGTCGATCCCCTGCGAGACAACCCGGGCACAGTGGGCACAGTACGTAGGCCCTAAACTCATTCCGGACGGCACAATGATACGTGGAAAAGGTCGTCCAAAGTCGAAGCGCATACGCAATGAGATGGATGACAGCAACCGGCCCCCAACCAAATGCAGTCGTTGTCACCAGCAAGGTCACAACCACACTACTTGTCCATCTAGACCAACATAGGACCTAAGTGTATATGTGTTATTTGATATAGTAGTATGCAGTGGTGTTATTTTGATGAAACAGTTATAATTTTCTACATTATGTGTTATTGTGTTCAATTCGATGAATTTTATTTTGTACGTTGGATGTTCGAGATTTCCTGTTTATGCTCGAGATTGGAGGACCTCTGTTTGTGCTTCAGGTATACTACGTATATTATCACAAGCGAATTATGCAATGAGTAATGTCATATTTAACATAGTTTTGTGTTTTGCTATTGAAGCTATGGGCTTGGGAGCACATCCACGTAGGAAGACCAGGTAGGCCTGCTGTACATCGTCCGGGGCAGCAGGACCAGGATGACCAGTATGAGCCGTACATCGCTCCGCCTCGCCCTGCAGCTGATGAGGCTTACGGTTGCAGCTTTGTAACAATTGTCATTTTTTTCCCATATACGATTTCATTTTGTAAACATACTTACCAAATTTGTTGCCCCAGGTGGATGGTCCCCAGACTCACACAGGCCTTCACGACATTGACCGTCGGGGAAAGACGGAGACAAACTGGGCACTGGAGCATTGACAGTATCTTCAGCTATGGGAGCAGCGGTTGGGTCATGTCGTTCAGGGTTATCCCATGCAGGGCGTTATGGTTCATGACGATCCGTACATGGTGTGGTACAGGCTTATCACACGTCGTTTCATCAACCCCAGCTACACACCACCGTCCACCCATAACCACCCGGCACATGACGTCATTAGCGGATATGTGAGTTTCTTTTACTATACTTATCATCCTCATTTTTTAACTTTTTTAAATATCATGTACTTGACTGATCGATGATTACTACAGGCGGCGGATATGGTGGCGATGTATGATGCACTGTCCCTCGCCCTTACAGACGGACCCACCAGAGCCCAGGTCCAGCGGATGCGAGATATGTCCGCGACTTCCTTACGCAGACATGGTCACGGTCATCTCATCCAACAACGGGACGGTGATGATGGTCACTCCATCCATTCGCGGTTCGACCCCGGCCAGAGTAGCAGTGGAGGTGATCCTACGTCGCACACAGAGGCAGAGGAGTACATCTTCCACAGTTTTGCACCCTTCAGAACCCAGGAGGACGCATCGTCCAGCCAGCTCACTCCCCCCCCCCCCCCGCGCCGGAACCCATTCACCACCATTCACCATTACACTCGGCGTCGTCCAAGATGAAGGGACGACAGTGAGGCTAGGGAAGGGTTACACCAAATTGATGAGTAGTGAATGTATTGTATCATTGTTTTGTCCTTTTTCCTGGAATGTTGTATATAACGATTGCATTATCAATATAAGACATGCTGGTTGAATGAATCTGTTTGTGTTTTGAAGTTTTGTTTGCTTATTTATCCAAATCGGATTTATGTCAGTCAAAATAGATCCTTCAGGGCTAATGTACATTAAACAACAGACATTTGGAATCCATAGTCGAAAATGGGGAAGAAAGGATGGCCCGTGGTGGTTAATGTGGTTGTTCATGGTGGTTTTAGTGTTGTTGGTTGTGGTGGGTGGTTATCGACGATTGTTGAATGGTTGGGGTTGGTGGTGGAGCTGGTTGAAGTGTTGTTGGAGGTCAAAAGTGGTGGCAGATGGTGGTCGATGGTGGGGGTTGTTGGTGGATTGTGGTGGCAAGAATCATGGCAGGGGGTGGTGGGTGGGGGCAGAAGAAAGTGGCAGATCAGTGGCAAAAGGCTGATTCTGCTGCTGTTTTGCACACCAGCAGAGAAACGTTGTCCCAGACAGCGTTTTAGGTTGAAAATAAGACGTTGTCTGAGACAGCGTTTTAGGTACAAGGAAGTTTGTACATAAAGCGCTGTCTGGGACAGCGTCTTTGGTATAACTGTTTTCGTTTTTTAAAAATATTTTTATAAATAAAAGGCAATTACAAAATTTTTTTTAAAAAAGGTCAACAACAAAGACGCTGTCCCAGACAGCGTTTTTAGGTTGATTTTTATTTAAAAAAAAAAACCCAGGCATAAAACGCTGACCGAGACAATTGTGTATTTTACGTTTGATGACATAACAATGTATAAGTAAATGTATGTACATTAGATGTTGGACTAACGTAGTACGGCATGGAGGTTGATTAGGTGCATTATTATGGGTAGAAATATATCTTTGCAAGATTATACAAAGGCTTAAAATATAGTAGCAAGGAGGAAGTATTTGTAGTGGATTGATGATGTGGATGAAATTATTGTAGGAGTTTTATGGGTATTTTCGGAGGTTGGCAGGAGGTGGGTCAAAATAGTTGTTTTGTAAGTAGCTAATGGATGATGCCTCATGGGAGGAACTTGTTCTCTATTTATAGAGATTTCCGTATGTAGACAATAGACGGTTGGAGAAGGATGAGGATGCCCTCCATGAAAATAGGAAATAGCGGTTATTCAATCTTTACTTGGTCTTTCAATGAATGTAGACGGTTTGGAGTACACATACGTGCAACAACTTTAATTGACTTCTTCTTAGTGGTAGATATTCTCTCCATAACTTTAGGAAGCATCCATAACCATCTTGACTCGGTCTTATATATCTTGGTCTTGAATGTCAACGTCGGTCAACAGTTGTACAAAATGTCCCATAACATGAATCAACCACCATATTAAAACAATTAACTAATTCCTTGTGCAATTCCTCCCCTGCCCATATAGGGAATACGAGCACATTCACTAAAACAGCTATGATCCCTCCAATCGCCACCGAGTAGAGGCGGTCCACAGCCACCGTGATAGAGTATCCCATCCGGTAGCCAGAAACTACGATCAAACAGAAAGTGAATAAGGTCACCTAAACGCGTATTCGTATTGTACTAGTGACGGCCATATCTTCATGAACGACGTTATAAAACCTACATGTACATCAACACACATCACACATGTATTGTGTTAGTGCAACATTGTAACATTTCAGTAGTTTTAGACTTTATTATAGTTAAAATTAAATTACGTACCAATGAAAAATATGCTAACACCAATTATTATAGGTGCAGCAATTGTTCCTGTACATAATGCAACTTGAGCAATGGCAATGGCCAAGATTCCAGCCAATGAGCTTCCTATTGCACGGTTGAACCCCTTACTAAATGTCATGCCTGGATAAATTACATTAAATTAAATTCCAATCTCATAATAACGCTCCAAACAATTTATAGAACTAATGCAAATAAACACGCACCATTTTCCATTTGTATGAAACTTATTCTCCAAATTAATGTTCACGTAGGATCAGTATAATTTTTTTAAAAAAAATTGTTACTAAAAGTAGCTATTTTGGTGCCAAACTAAATTACACGGACAATGAATAAAGTTTATCAATGTATAGTGAACCCAAGAAGTAAGTAGAGTACGAGTACATACCAACGGTGTATTCGAACATGACAGCAGTGGTAAGAATAGCCCAAATGAGATTGTTGGCACCAAAAAAATGATAAGGAGCTGGAATTAAAATTAGTAATGAAACAATAACAACTGCTAATCCTACTTTAAATGGGAAGATTATTCTATTAATGTCGTATATATAAAACTTACAAACATTCTTAACCCAAATACTTCCCTTAGTTTTTATACTATTATTTGTGGTTTCTTTGGAGGTTGCAATGGTAATACTTGTTGTTTGGGTCCAATTTAGTCAAAATTGGGCCTGGGCACTAAATGATCCAATTAAAAGCCCAAGGTCAAGGTTCAACTCTCCAATTGCTCAAAAGTCAAAAGTCAGCCCACAAAGTAAGCCAATTGGGCTAAAGCCCAACCTCTCCAAGTATGATGAGGTATAAAAGCCCTCATATTAACACATTCAAGGAGACATCACATACATTATCACATACATTATCACATACATTATCTCATACACTGATTATTCCAATTCATATGCTCATTCTTGCATTGAGAAATACTCCACAAAAGCCTCAAGCTAAAAACTCTCTTGCATAGTGTCTTCCTTTTTACACATTGTACTGACTTTAGCATCGGAGGGGCCTTCCTCGGAAACACCCCCGAGGCTAGTTTACGTGTGTTCACTGTGCAGGAAACCTTCGGCCCAACACAGCTTGGATCGAATCCAGTCTTCTCCATTTCAGTGGACCTTCGGCAAGGTCCCATTGTTTTCAACCGAAACAATTTGGCGCCGTCTGTGGGGAAGACTTTCAAAAATCTTTAAGCCAAATTCCTAACCAAGATCATCTTGCAATTATCTTAGCAGCCATGGCTAAGAACCGCAAGAGCAAAAGCCTCCGTCAAGGAGCGGGCGAAAAGCCTAAAACCCCTACACCATCGCCCACGCCGGACCGGAACTCTCCCAAGGGTGCCGGCTCGGGGGGAGGATCACACAAGGAGGATTCCCTATCTCCTATAATGCATGACTCTCAATATAGGCCGGACCACTCTCGGTCTAGCAGGGGTCAGTCTGATCATAGGACATATTCAGTGTCCCGAAGCCAACCATCGGCTGCACGACCTCATGCCCACACTCGGCCGGGGACCCCTTTGACGGGGCCCAGTTCGGAAGAGGTGGCAAGAGCGCTGGCAGTACTCATGGAGGCAATGAGGGCACAGAATATGCCACCGCCTCGTGATCGAACTCCTCCGCATACCCGGCATCAGCGGAGGAAGTTAGACCATGACGGTGGGAAGCTTCCTTCCTTCCGGGAACTGGAAGAGTGGGAGGAGGATTCTTGGAAAAATGAAAAACAGAGGAAGAAGAACTCTCAATTATTTAAAGGATCCTCATCCTCAAGACCAGCAGCGCATAAGAGCAGCAGCTCAGCTTCTCGGCCAGAATCTACTCGCCGGGAACCTGAGACTGCTCGCAGAAGCGTCCTTGACCGACTCGGCGGCCAGGAACCGAGCGTGCGTAGTCGCCTCACGTTCCCTGCAGCCGAGGCCCAGACTTCCCAGCCAGGGACGAAAACCACTCCTACCTCTCTAAGAGGGCGGAGCGCGGTCCCTTCGGCCAGGAACAAGGGCAAGGCCATTATGCTTCCCGCTAGTTCACCATTCGAGCAATGGATACTGGAAGAGCGCGTACCCACGGTTAAAATACCGTCGCATATCACATATGACGGGACCACGGATCCGAAGGACCACGTGGCCTCGTATGAGACTCATATGCATCTTTGCCCCAGATCCGAGGCGACTTGGTGCAAATATTTCCCAACCACTCTCAAGGGGGTCGCGCAAGCGTGGATCTCCAAGGGAGTAAGGCAAGGCTCCATAACAGGTTGGGATGATCTGTCCTCCAAGTTCAGGAGCAAGTTTTCCACGGCAAACCGCCGAGAAAAGACTACC